GAGTTTGGATCGAGCGTAGCCTAGTGAATAAAGCGTTGACTTGACTAACTTGGCATCACAGGTGACACATCCCAGACTCAAAATTCCACGTCTACCGCCTCATCCAAGGTGTAATGACTTTGGTAGGTCAGGGGTGTGCAACCTGCGTCCCGCGGACCAAATGCAGACTTCATGAAAAATATATTCGGCCCGCGGAAAAGTGCCAAATTTGAATGATGTGCGGCCCGCGAAACGAGTTTCCAATAAAAATTGGTACGTGCGTAATTCTTCGAATGAAAACATTTTTCTTCGCTTACTTTAGCAAGTGCATGATTTGAAATTCCAGGCGACAAATCTTACGATGCCAGTTTTTCTCTTGACGTCGACTGATGATACGACCACCGATCGTTTTAGTCGGATAAACAATTCAACAAACCCAAGTAAATAAATTGCGCTCAACATGCTGTCCGTGTTTGAGCCTAGGCTTGTTTGTAAGCGAAGAATAGTTTGCACACCGTCGAATTGGACTATACGCTCAGGCGGTTCTGTTTCAATAAAAAGCAGACTTTGTCACTGCCTAATTCAAGTATTACTACGAAAAAATACAATTATAAAACGTACTTTCGACATGATAAGAGCTCTTACGATATCTTGGGCCACTTTAAACTGTCTATATAGGGCGTAAAACTACAATTTTATACATTAAAAGTTGTTCCTTACTCTCCACAAGGCTGTAGACAAGCAGTCCTCGAATACGTCATACGTCATGATTAAATGTCGTTGAAGATGAACATTTTTCTTCCCTCACTTTCCTTTGTCAGGGAACAATTTTCTAAGGTCAGGCGCTAAATGTCAGTTTTTCTTTCGACTTCGTCTCAAAATACGACCACTGACTGTTTTTTCAATTAACCTAAAATAAATAAATAGCGCGAACCATATTTCCGCGTTTGACCCCAGATCATGTCGTACAAGATCTGAAGCTTTAACGGTGAACCCCATCTAAACCCGGAAGTACTGATATAATTGCTATAGTATGTCCAATAGGTAAAATAACTCAATCCAGTTCCCCAAATTCCAAGCAAACACACCCCGCATTTCTGTAATACAAATCGCGACGCACTGTTACGAAAATTGCTCATTAAAAAACAACTTGGTTGAGATATATTGAGAACTGACTTCATAACAAAATTGTTAAGGAAATCTCTGGACACCCTGTATGTGTACATTCATTCATTGAAAATATGAGCTTGTTATCCGCATTTAAATAAAATAATGTCTAATATAGAAGGTCATATTTCTGCACCTAAGTTAATTTGAACAGATTTGATCATTTATATCAAGTTCAAAATGCGGCACATAATCCGCAATTATTTGATAAAGTGGATTAGTGGATTAATGTTTGCGTTTATAGCCCACAATAATGAATTTTAATGAATTATGAATTTATTCGGCCTAAATTAATATTTATCACATCTAAAATGTATGTATCTCACAAAATAGTTACCCCTCAGTTCTGTTACTGATTGAACTCTAATGCATTAGTTCCCGACTTCCTACAGCCCTGTATATCCTTTTCACGATGTGAATGGGAGCTGTATACTTTTCCAATGAAATGGGACAGTACTGCACAATTGGCCTGCACAAGTAACAATGCTTTACGCCGAAACTTTTTATAGTACAAAATGTTTCCTGTTGTCCCTTGCAAGCTATATCAAAAGTTCAGTCCTTTCGATATTTTATTTTTACGTTATGAAAGCCCACGGATTGTTTAGATCACCAGTTCTCAACCAGTAGGCCATTGTAAGGTTTTATTTGTGTCACTATAGTTAATTTTGATTGTAGCAACAATAAATGGCGATGCTGTTTTCTGCTACTGAGTGGTAATTCTCATTCTAACTATTATTACGAAAATCCCCATTTATGTGGGAAGATTATGTTTTTCTTGTAGTTCTTCCTTTGCCTAAAAAGTTGATGGGCCCAGAATTTTTGTTAAAAGAAAATGGACCACAAAAAAAAAAGGTTGAGAACCAGTATCTTTCTGGAGACCCTCCTGCAAAGCATTGCTCTACTGTTAAGGTTTCAGTCTCATGCCAGATTGATCTAGCGACCTCTGAAATAGGCAACACAAGCTTGTTCTTTTCAAACAGGTTTATTTAAACCCAATATAGTGGAGACAATTGAAAAATTTCAAATTTTAAAGTTTACTCACAAATATTAAAAAATAGTATTGTCATGTAATTATTAAAAACTGGTTCAATCAAGTCCAGAATAATAGTATATATATATAATTACTTTATTCTCATTCTCGAATACCCGAAAAAAAATGGCCATAGTATAAGTGAAAATAATAAACTCCATCTGTGCAGTAAACATTAACGAATTGTTTGAAATTTTTGAATGTACTTTGGGAGTATTAATAATCCAATACAATTCTATAGCCAAGTTGTATGCAATGGGGCTTTTGCTCCTCCTTGTTATTTTTTCAAAGTTCAAAACTGTAAAGCAGGGGTGAGCAACAGGCAGCCCGCGGGCCACAACACGGCCCGCCAAGCCATTTAGTGTGGCCCTTGTTAACACTCAGATTTTCCCCCATCAGGCATAAAATCATAATCAGACAGTTTATGCTTGAAAAGGCACTCACACGGGGTAAAATACATAATGTAGTGCTGTTGTATCCGCTAAATCCTTCGTCGTTTTGCCTTTATTACTATAAGGCTAAGCGATATCCGCATTCTCTTCTCTCGCTATTCCCGCGGCTATTCTCTGGTTGTCGCTGAGGTATTTCGTTGTTGCCTGTTTCATAGCACTTGTGTATAATATTATATTGTGATGTAATAATCCATCATTGTGGTTGCTGGTCATTTCCCAGCAACCAGCTTCCTAGAATTTGAAGCAGTTTAGTAATATATTTTGCTATTCTGCAAAAATTAATTTTTGTATGGCTCAGCTGGAATGATGTCTGAAGTTGGTTATATGACCCGCCGACAAATATGTCGCACATCCTTACTATGACGCGTTTGTCATTGTCGTCGTCCCCGCAGCGACACCTTATGATTATCGAAATACAATTTTGAAGTAATAGCTGTAAAAGTAATACAGCTGTGAAAACAAAGAGGTATGTAGTACACATAAAAAAGTAACCGGGATTGCTGTAGTACACATAAAGAACATGTAATTCAATTCAATTATTTCCCGCTCCGTCCTTTCCAAATTTAAACTCTTGCATACAATAAACCTGCATCAGTTTAGGGCATTCTGCCACACTTGACGAGTGATGAAAATTTTTTATTTCCAATAATAATGCGATGAAATAATTTAGGATGCTTTGGGAAATGGACCGTTACACGCCTTTCTTTTCCAGTGTTCCCTGCTTCCCAAATGTCATTCTTGCCTGAAATATAAATACAACAATGCAGAGCAGTGGAAACCATTGTCAATGTATATGTTACATTTAACTAGTACACTTCTCATTTTGAGTGTTCCCTGTTTTCTTAATAGATATTCTTGTTGTCTGAAATAATGATACAACATTGCAACGCAGTGGGAACACTTGTCAATGTACGTTACTTATAAATAACTTTATGAATTAATATTTGAGACCGCTCATACAGTTCAGTGGACCATTGCACTTCCCCATTTTACAGTGTTCACTGTTTTCTAAATCCGCATTCTTGTCCAAAATAAACCGACACAACAACATATTACAATAATTTAAAATTCCATTATACATACAATTTTTTCAACCACAGCGCAAAAAGTAAATGTAAAGAAGGCCAGGTTCGGGCAACTTCATGAATGCGGTAAGTCGGTCGTTGCCGTATTCAAGGCATCAATTTTTAGTTAATTTAGATTAGTACAATCGTACACTGGCACTGTTAAATGAGTTATTTCGAGGTGATAGGAATTTTCTATCCAAGTATATGGCCTGATGATTAATGAACATTTTCAAAGCGAGGTTTGTATGTATCAAATAGAAGAAAAATATGTATAAGAAATGAAATGTAATTTCAAGAAAACTTCAGCGTGAAATATCGTTGACAAAAACGCTAGGATAGGATTAGCCGTCTAATGATTAAAATTTGGTGTAGTAGGGGCAGTTCAGACTAAAATATTCTGTTACAGGTCAAGAATCAATACCAATACATACATACGATCAATAAAATACAGTGACAGACGTATAGTAAATATTGGGCTAACGAGATCAGAATTGTGATATTCAGCTACCCTATGTATTATGATTTAATTTTAGAACGATTATGCCGATCCTAATTAATTTAAATAATCATGTTATAACTAGCTCATTAGCCGCACGTACTATCAGACTTACTGTTGAATTATTTTCTAAGTAATTTATATCAAAAACATCTTAAAAATAGTGTACAACCGTTTCAAAAAAATTCATATTTAGTGAAGTTCAATATAAAATTTCTGGATGGTTTTGTAAGCCCATGCAATTCTTCCACAAATTCGTCACAATATATACTCATATCATTATTCGATATACACCCTGTATCAGTGTTTCCCAACTTACGTGTCGGTGACCAAAGCTGAGTAGCATGAAAATCTTCTTCGTGTGTAGCTCGTATCTATCTAAAATCTTAAAGTTTCTGATTTTATTACCTAATCAATTATTTTTATATTCAATATTTTGCTTTGAAATGTTTCCCCATAGTAATTTGCAGGGAAGCATCACAGCTTTAAAACTTGGACACTTCAATTTTGCTCAAGTTTAGCCACACCACGATATCAAAAAATCGCTGATGACAAGCAAACGCAGCTGTCTCTCTTCGAGTTCTTAATGTAACGTAAAAATGATGGTTACATATTAGGCACTACATGTCATTTAGTATTGGCGAATACCCTGGAGTCGCGAGATTTTACAAAATTTCTTGTTATGAAAAATCAGGGTCGTTGAGAAAGGCTGGGACCACTGCCCTATTAAACCCAGGCATGAATTTCCCATAAATCATAATTAGAAACTGAATACTTGATTCGTATTAGCAGTTAATTAATAAAATACCATAAATTAAAAAGCATGCCGTCCTTTTGCTGTTTTGAGTTCACCTGCTCAGCGGATCATTGCAAGTGTGGCAAGGACTGGAAATATAAAATCGTGCATAGAGTAGTATCTGTAGGAAATCTGATTATGAATATCTACTCTATTCTCTCCACCACATGGCTGGTTACAGTAAATGACACCATAACACAAGGATTATCTAATTACTGTGGAGCTGGGAACGAAGTCAACTGTACAGTAACCGGAGAAAATTGCATAGTTTGCGTGGATCTTGGAAAAAATAATGAATGCAAAGAGCTAGGTAAGGCATATTCAGATCTCCTAATTAATCTGAGACTCTTCGAGTTAATTTCATCTCTGCTACAGCATCCTTGTATAACTTGCTTACTTTAAATAGCAGCAGCGAGGAATATCATTCATTGCCTGGGTATGTATGCGATGCTCAAATCGCGGGCCTGTCATCAATTCTTCAGAATATTTACATGAATTCGAATGAAAAAATCCTTTTTTTAGAACCAGAAGTTGATGAACTCGTCGTGTTTTGGCTTCTTGTAGTATCCGCTATCCTAAGACTAATTGTAACAGCTGTTTTACTGCTCATGGACTGGGTATGCAGAATCAAGAAATGTTGCATAAATTGCAATAATCCCCATCGCAGAACACTGTACGCTTTGCAGTTTTTTGCAGGTAATTCGTTTATATAACTTTATTGGTAAACGGAATGTGATGTCAGGTAAATACAGTCGAATTGAATAGTAGCTTTTCTAATTTTCTTCAACAAAGTAACCACCGATAGATTTTCGTATTCAATGCGCCAATGTCATAGTAGAAAAAGCATTTCAAATAAAAGAGCATTTTAAATAATTGCATAAACATGTACACGGGCCGGATGCTTAGATATATACTGATTATTTAGATTTGATTGGTCTGACGGCTTCCAGTATCTACACGGCATACAATCAAAGCCAAAAGCTGGACGACCCAGTTCCGGGAGAAGAAATATGCGGAAGATTCGGTGCCGCATTCATCGTCTCGTGGGTTCTTGGTTCCCAAACAGTCTTCAAAGGACTGTGTCTGTGTCTATGTGACGACGAGGAAGACAATGAAAGTGGAGGAGGCGGTGGAGGAAGCGCTCAGACAACCATGTAACGGGCAATTAACTGACGAAAAACTTTCCGCATTCAAATAACGACTTTTTGTGTTGACCTATAAAATACCACATACGGACAAATCGCAAGCGAGGAAAATTTCTGTCACGTCGAGTGTCTTATTTATATAACTGTTCGATTCACAGCATCTTCCTACCGCGACCATGCAATATCGCATGGAAAATCGCGTGGATTCGAAATTTTCATATATATATCTCAATTCCGTAACAGTAACAAATAAACCCTATTAATTAATTGATCTGCATTTAGCAAATCTTTTTCCATCGATGAAATATCCACTTTGCTTTTTTACAGTTATAGAAACTCCTTCCTTCTTTGGCAAAAACGACAAATATTAATTGTAGTCGCTTTACTATCCGCTGTTTTTATTTGTTCATAATAGAGATCAATGCCTGTCAAAAAAATCCTCAGTCCATTGGCTGATTATCGATGTTATAGTTTAGTAAAATTGCCTTTGCTTAGCAGTTTTGTTAATAACGTGGAGTTGGTATGCGCCGTCAATACTTATTCCACATTGTTACATATATTGTAGTGTTCTCCCATATGTTTCATTCTGTTTTATGTGTAGCTTTTAACTATGACCGCTTTCAAATATTTGATTATTATGTGACCCATTACTGGTGCCATGCTGTATTACATATGTATGTAGATATTTTTATATGTATGCAGCATGTTATTTTAATTAAATGTAGCTTTTAGCAAACTGCTTTCAAATTTTCGAGTATAAGCCTATGTATCCGTATTTTGTGTTGAAATCCTATAATTTTTCACGCAGTCAACCTTCTAAGAACAGGTGGAGCAGTTGTGCTATCGATTTTATATATGGATTTTAAATTGCCAAATAATTAATAATGAATATATAAATAGTGCCGATTTCAAAATTTCCTTTCAAATATGTCATTCGATGAAGCTTGAAACTGGCAAGAAGAAATGAGCTTTTTTATTTGGTTGCTATTTTCTAATAGCCCACTACACACTAATAAATATATAGCAAGAAGAAATTAATTCGATTTTATATATTTTTCGTGTGGGATAGAACAAGCATCACATTCAGTTTTAGCTGTTTCATCATTACTTATCGATTTTAATCGGTGAGTATGTTGATAGGTATTTGTCTGTCTGTTTGTCTGTTTGTTTGTCTGTCTGTTAGATGCACGCGATATCTCACGAAAGCGGGATTGAATCTGCTCCAGATTTTGCATGTGCATTCATCATATGTCGTACCAGAAGCCTATTGATTTTGAATGAATTATGTCGTATAATTAGCGAGTTATTAATTAATTAGTGATGGGACACAAGGTGTCACTATGGAGTAAGAGCGCTGTTTTGGGGATCCCTAACTTTCGATCGATAAGTCTTCGGTCTCTGACCGATATTCTCGTTTTTTAGTTGTCGAGTGTTATTCGGAGTCTTACAGCACGCCTTTGACTGAATAAATTACAAACCAAACAAGAATGCCTAATATTCTATCACATGGAACATAAAAGTACAAATTTTTGTTGCGATTTCTATAGGAATGCGCCAACAAAGTCGAGCTTGATGGCAGCGGCATAATTATTTGTATGCGCGCGCGCGCGGTTATCTGCATATTCAGTATTCATTCGTTTTAATGTATGACCTTGTTATCAATCAGTCGATCGCGAGCTATTTTTAAAATGTTAGTCGGTCGCGGTCGAAAGCAGTTCAGCCACTACTATATCGTGCGCATACTCCCAAAATGGTACTGAATTCGTTGTGTGTTATATTTGCCGAATATGAAAAAAAGTGGCAACGCAAATATTCAATTATTTTAGGTTTGACTATTTATACATATAGAGCAGGGTGGTCCAAGATTGGCAGCTCCGCGGGCCACAAAATTACTTTTGCATTGTTCGCGGGCCACAATTGTGCCAAGAACTTTGCTCGTTTAACTTCGCTAGTTGCCTCAGCAAGCCATAACACTATTCAATTCAGTAACATTAGTGATGCAGCAATATGTCAGAAGATATTTTGGTTAATTTCATGACGAAACAACACAAAATGCGATTTTCTAATTTCTCTCCGAATGTGACGCGGGCCACAGATAATGAAGCGGTGGGCCACATGTGGCCCGCGGCCTGGGTTTGGACCACCCTGATATAGAGCGTCATTTATGGGTCTGAAAATTTTCGAATCAGTTATTCGAATAATATCGAATAGTGAAATATTCGAATCGGTTCAGACAAATTTTGTTTTGTTTTTCTGTCCGCTATAAGTCGGGGTGAAAGTTCTCCAATATTCTCTTATTGGAGCCATATCCTGACATAGAACTATTTCGAAATTGAATCTACTGATTATTTTCTGACCCGCATTCCTTTTATCAACCAGCTTTCGACCGCGACCGACTAGATTTTTCAAAATACCTCGCGATCGACTAACCGGTAATAAGGTCGTACATGAATGTTGCACGACTTTGTGGTCACATTCTTAAAAAAATCGCCACAAACATTTGTATTTTTATGTCCCATTCAATTTGAATTTAGAATTTTACCCGAAGTAAATGTTTCATCATCTATATAATTTTTTTTAACCTATACAAAACAGATCTAATTTTTAGTCATATTAAAGTGCTGAAAACGCCCTAAAAAATAGTCAAGTAGCCTACCCATGTATTATTTGAACCGCGGTCCGGGAGCGGAATATAAATATTCTAAAACGATAAATGTTACATGACTGATCAATCTTCAGTATCTAATTTATTATTTCCTCCAAGTGTAATTCTTCTTTCGCTTGGAATTAGAAAATATAAGCATTTTGTTACTTTTGAAGTGAGACAATAAATTTCACATACTGCAGAAGTTATGGTAGGATATTTGTGAGTCAAGACCATACGTTAGTAGTTGGCCAAGACACCCGATATTCGGCAAGTTTATTTGTAAACCTTGGAAGCGGTGAAACTTGCATTTGTTACGCAATAAGATGCTCTATCGGGCTTGCTCATGCTAAAATACTGCTGCATGTGTATATCGTGTTTTGCGCATGTGCAGTACTGTGCTCTTCCTGCTCTAAAACACACAACAGACGCTCCATGAAACTGGTTCGAGAAAGTTTCTGGGGTATTATATGAAAATCATTCAACATCAGCCGCTATCGACTACTCGAGACGTGACGATCGGCCGGTCGATGGCGATCGACGAGTTGGCCACCCCTGTCTTATATGACCAATGCTATGACGTCATAGCGCGTTTTAGTCATTAATCGGCTCTTCGTCCTACTGAGTCCTAGTATTCAAGACGCTTATGTGTCATTTTTCGTTTTTAGTTATTGCATGGAAACAGGTTGCGGTGTCGTGTCCTAGTGCACTTACACGAGTCCGACTAAGTACCTCCCCAATTGTGTTACTTGGTGAGATGTTACCAAATGTTTCCTACCACAATACCACGTTGAATACGTCCAATCTCGGAAGTTAAGTGACGTCGTTCTCGGTTCCCTGGGTCACCGACTGAGAATACCGGGTGTTGTAGGATTTTCGCCTCAGAGTAGTTGAACATAATGCTAACGGAATCCATCCTCCAGAACGAAAAGTTTCCAAGTATATTCTGCAATTATTCTCATGGATGATATTCATGGCCCACTCGATTTGAGTGCTTCCTCGTTGGTTTTTTTCAATTTTCAAAGTTTTTTTTTCTCTATTCGCTCCTCCGCGACACCTTGTGCTTGCTCAACACAATTTCAAAATAATAATCGTTGTAGTATTATATCTGTGGCAAAAAGTAGTAGGATATTACCCTTGTTGGAAATACAAATACCTATCATAATATACATATGGTTACTTTCAGTTTTGGTGTTCGCATATCACAGATTGAAGATTAAGATTACGGGGTTCGAGTCATATGCTTATCACCACACCTGGGGTGTGTTAAATCATTGACTAAAAGATACACTTGAAATTTTAACTAATTTACACTATGATCAGCATGCGAGGGCCAGGAACTTCGAAGAAGGGGGGGGGGGGGCATAAGTTAGGCCACAACAGATAACGGATCCGACCGGAGGGATGAAAAACGTGAGGTTTTAAAATTCTTGAGGGTCTAAAGAGTGTTTCAAACTACGAAAAGTTGCTATGTATCATACAGAATTTTTTTTTTATATTTACATTTCAAAAAAGAGGTTCCTCAGCCCTTCACCCTGTTCACGTCACTAAAGATCAGTGCCAATGAATAGATTATTTAGATGCCACGGTATATAAGAAACCCAAAATGATGGTAACGGTTGTGAAGCAATGTATTTCATGTCTCTAAATTAAGACATACCGAAGTTTCATGTAATTACCATGTAAATACAAAAAAGACTTCCCACGCCGTGTCCACATCATCAAGCACTACCTGCGTACCGCGTTATAACTTACAAGGCACACAATCTATTTAAAAAAAAAAGTATTTAAAGCACGCTTCATGGTTCGTGAAATACAGCACAGGGTATATTAGAAAAGGTAACTAATGCATCTTTCTCGATACATAGCGCACCTAGTGCCGATCAGTCGGTAACGTATTCTCACATAGTTATGTAAGTCAGTGAAGACGTGGTATGTGATGGTTGCTATGGTGAGCAGTTTGTATTCGTTTTTATTCATTCAGCTATCAAGCATCTGAAGTATGATGACATGATCTATGGCTGCGAAGAGAAGATGATGCGAAGGTTAGTATATGAAACCGAATATATCGGTGAGCAGTTCACAGCACTGGAAATCACTAGTTCCTTGAATGAGTCGCGTCATGAACGTATGGGGCCCTGAGTTGGCTACCACGATACCAAGAAATGGTATCCAAATGATAGTTTAATACAATGTACACCATAACAAAAGTATGTCAAGACGTGGAATAAAAGCAATGCAGCCCTAGGTGAGTGAGTACGTGTTACGTGTCTACGAATTTGTTTCACATCGAGTGTTTTACCGAGTTACCTAACGAACTATATTTTTCCACAGATTTATCATAACGTGACTTGCAGTGTATATTGATTCTTATATGCCATGGTACCGGTAAGGTAGCACAAAAAGTGATTATAGAATAAAAACTTAAGTTGAAAGACTATAGTAAAATATAAAATTCAGATGATTTGAATAAATTTGTTTTAAAGCTGGCTGCCTTTATCTATTTTGGGTGCTCCAGAAGTATGCGCACCAAGATGTTGCACAATCTGAATCCTAACCGATACACACATACTATGTTCAGGTTGTGCGCCATCTTGGTGCGCATACTTCTGAAGTTCCCTTTTTTTGTGCTTATGTGTGGCAACGGCTGTTTGGCTGCAAGTTTTTCCGCAGTGCTTCCATAGCCGCGGATATCCACTTTGATTCCTGTCGTACAGTGTAATACGACATTTTATTGGACGACATTCATCAGACATGGTGAAATTCCCATCAAATTTCTATGCTGAGAAATTTTAATATAATATTTAAAACGTTCGCACGTTGTTATTTCAAAGTAAGGCAACCGCAGACAGTCTCAAGAGACGTATGTAAACAAAATAGTAAATAATATTCTTCTGAATGTCGAATACGTTGTATGATGATGAGGTCGTGCAATTAAAACTGATCGAGTTGTTGTGTAAGTTACAATGGTTAGATTAAATTAGAGCTGAGATGCTTAGATGTCTTGTATGTGCTGCAGTGTAATTTCATCAATAGTTTCTAAAACGACAGATTCCCTCGTCATGTATGGCGCCCTGAAATTTGAGTACCTTTTTATTTGTAGCAATAATGTATATGGAATTAACCGTTGTGCTACAACAAGTAATGTTGAAAAATCGGATTTAATATGGGCGTTGATCGGTCGTGTCACAGCCTATCTCATGGGATCGATGCAAGCGAACTATTATTTTATATTCGACTGAATGTCAAATACAATTTATGACGCTTATTTTCGAAATATTTGAACACTGGTTAGGGTTTTCTGTAGGCAATGATATTTCCTAAATATATAAGCTAAAATGTAATTTTACTGCGATTATATAAAATGCAGCGATTAATTTACATTGTGATTGCATTCATGCTTTATATTATTTCTGAATAAAAGAGCTCGATTAGTCACTAATTTACAGTTGTATAAATCTAGGTATGCTATCATGAACATAGGTTTATCTAGGCTGTGGTTCTCAACCTTTTTCTTTTCGTGGCCCATTCTCGTCGCCCAAAAATTCTGTGGCCACCAACTTTTTCATGCTGGGGAAAAACTTAAATAAAACAAAGAATTCTCTCAATCTTTTTCTTTTCGTGGCCCATTCTCGTCGCCCAAAAATTCTGTGGCCACCAACTTTTTCATGCTGGAGAAAAACCTAAATAAAACAATGAATTCTCTCAACCTTTTTCTTTTCGTGGCCCATTCTCGTGGCCCAAAAATTCTGTGGCCACCAACTTTTTCATGCTGGGGAAAAACTTAAATAAAACAAAGAATTCTCTATACGAAAATAGACACTTTAACTTCAATAAAAATTCGGTAAAAATCACCAACCTGCAACAAAAAACGACATTATCCATTTCTACCATCACCCTCAAATTCAACTAACTTTATCAAGAACTCTACCAATTTTAAATAGGTCTGTGTCCTGTGGCCCAGAAGTGGACATTTCGCTCGTCAAGCATGGCGCCCTTAAATTTCAATATCTCAGGAAACATTTATATTTTAAAAAATAATTTTTTAAAACGTCACGAGTTGTTAGTTTTATACATTGCAAACGCAGACAATCTCAAGGTATATATGGAGACAAATTAATACCAGATATTCTGTAATACGTTGCATGACGTATACAATGGGGTAAAATATAAACTCTAGTAAGATCGAGATGTAGATAGAGTTGGTGATATTATATATCAACTGCAATACAATTGCGTGTTACGAATCTCGGGTTCGAGTTTTAATCGCAAGTATGTGAAATCGGAAAAAACACCCACAGAGGAGCCAGTGAAATTAGAGGCCGTGGCGTATTTATCAAAAAGAGTGTCGCGGCCGAAGTGTTAGATAGAGACGGGACAGGGTTGTGTACGTTTCTTAGAAGTAACGATGCGTAATCGATAAAGTAATGAGTATTTTTACGTGAACGTGAATTTGTTGAGATTGCAATTAAATTTAGTTTTGGCACGAGATTTATCGTTTTGCACGTTTGCTCTTGTACACTGTAAATATTGTTCATAAAATATACTTTTACACGTCACACTTACATGGCCCACCAGTCTGCGTGGGCAAAAATTTTGGCCCTAGCACCAAAAACCTTGCCCACCTCCATTTTAGATATTTACAAGAAAATAGATCATTAACCATACATGGTCATGAGTATTAAAATGATATATTAAAGTGCAATATCGGAGATGAAATATGATAAAGTAATGGACCAAGGCACTAAGCCATATGTTAAGAATATAGTCATTTCGGTCATGAACTCTGATAAAAAAATAGACTGAGCCATACATGTCCGTATGATACCTGAACGATGCCAATAAACAAACATTCCGGCAAACATGAAAGATAATAGTTGCTAGCATTGTTTGAAGAACTCGTAAATTTTACGAGAGTTCCTCAAATGCCCGCGTCACTGCTGAAACTGAATGCAGAATACTTCGTCATCTTAGGCCGCAGTGGTTCTAGACAATTTTTTGAGAAGCGTGAAGCTAATTAAAAACGAAAGTATTCGTTAGATTTGATCTTGCCCGCCTTATTTGTTTACTTTTTATTATTTACGTTCCATCCACGTATTTATTGATTAAAACATACTTTCGCCTTACTTTCTGTTATTTGTAGCTTATTGTTATCTAATTATTTTTGAGGTGCGGCCCGAGACGAGACTTGAGGAGACAGGAGCTCAAATAGTTTGATACTTATACTAGTTTTAGTTATGTGCTATAAGTACTAAGACTTAAGATTAAATTGAAAGTTGTTTATACTTATTTGTCGGTGTATCTTTGACAACGCTTAAGCGAAAATTGTATTGCAACGAACGCCTTACAAAAAATTCGATTTGTTTATTTGCGAATGACCCAAAATGTTAATTTTTCTAAATTAAGTTCTATTTATTATCATATATAATTTAGCCATAGACTCGTCTGCATTTTTGTATTTATTGGGTGAACCAAGTCACCCAAACAACAAGGCAGCACTAAACTAATGAACTAAGAGCAGTCGTAAAAGCAGAGTTACATTTAATTACACTGGTCAACAACAAATTTGAGATCTGCGTGTTCTTAGTTGATTTAGGGTAAATCTGACGTGCTGAATCCAAAAATCACATTAGTTTTGCACAATCAGGTCAAGTTTTTAAGATATGGCCACATGTTGTTTTTTACATGTGTACGAAAGCGAAAAGTCAAGCAGCAATAGATTTTTATAGAAATAGAAGCCCACTTCTCTTGCTCCGACGCCACAAAATTCACGCAGCCCCACAATAAAAGTGCCGAATAAGTCATTGCTTTGTGTTTATTTGCCAATCGAACATTGCGCTTTCAAAGTACTAAAAGTAACTTATTACAAATTTTGATTAATGTTTGATAAAAATATAGTTGATGGAACAGCGTCTTTCAAATCATTATACAAATATTTACTGACGAATTAGCTAAGAGGTTCACGATAAAAAGCTTGTTTGACAAACGATAAGTGATAGTACACAAAAAAAAATAAAACTCAAGGTTGCGGGATATCAACGGACTCTTTGTTATATTTGTTCGGTGACCGTACATTTGAACCCACGTACATTTGAACCCATGCGTATATCCACGGGTTCAATCTATATGCGGGTGCTAAAACCCATGGGTTAGGGTTAGTATGGGTTTAACTATCCGTGAAACAAAAAAAATTCCATAGGTGCAATAGCATACAGGTGCAATTGTCATGGGTTCAAATGTACGTGGGTTCAAATGTAATGGAACCATTTTGTTCAAATAATATAGAAATGATTTAACTTAATTGAGTCTATATTACTTGACGTTTTTGAGTCACATGCTGCTGAAGGTAGCATTTGAAGTTTCCCCGTCACCATGGCATCATAGTGTCCTGCTTCCCCACTCATCACTGTTGAAGTATTGTATGATTTTCAAGTTATTTTTTAGATTATCTCTAGGTTTATTTACTATGATTTTGAAGTTGGCAATACAGTATAGTCGTTATTCGTAAACATATTCCTTGAAATTGTTATTAACATTTCATGGTGTTCACTGTTTAATGATAAATCATGAAAATCACGAGATATAATTGTGTAACTAACAGTTGAGGTTGCGTGAAACTATCTACCTTTCCTTGCTCTCTATGCCTTTGCGCAGGTGGATCCGTATGCGTAATACAACAGGATGCTGTAGCAAGAGTGTAAATGGCTATTCTATTCAATTCAAGAGTCTTGAATGTAACATTTCATTCTAAATCGCGCCAAACATACTATGCAATCTGAATGCTTTCTCAATAAAATGTGTAAGACAAAAGTCAGTAAACATTCAGAGTTTACTCTGTGTAAAAACGTAACTGAGGTTTGTTCTCGTCTGCTTTTACCAAATGGTACCATGATCAATGCAAACACACAACCGATAAAGCACAGTGTCAAAAGTTAAGCGAATATATTGAGTTACTACTGAGATTAGTATCATAACGAGTTTTGTGGGATTTCTACAAATATTGTTTATTGGAATATCTAGATGGTTTTGGCAAGCAATTTAATTTTTAATAAGCCTTCAAAGTTAAGGAAATTAACCATTGATTCCCGGATCCCGTTTTTATTTTATTTTTTCAACTTTTATGGTGTTCATTGTTTTACATTGATTCTTCGGCGCTCCAGAAGTATGTGTACCAATATGATTGCAACAAATTTTGTTCGCCTATTTTACACCAAGTTGTGGAAGGGGACTAAAACATATGGGTAAGGGGATAATCACTTGGCTAACACAGACAGTCCCAGAACTCGTAATAGAACTAAAATAGGGAAAATTGGAATAAAATTAGGGTCTTACCCAACCTGGTACACATACTACGGGATTACCGATTCTTGCACAATGAAAAAGGGGCAGAATTCGAACCATTTTTCTTCAGGAGCTGAGATACACTAGGTACACTTCAAATAATTAAGCAACATATACTATAACATTAAAATTCGATATATACCCCATATAACCTTTTTGTGTACCTAGGTTTCCATAACATATAATCTTGAAACTGAGTACTTGATTCCTACCAACAGTTTATATATAAATTACTTATTAAATAACATGTCGTCTTTGTGTGGTGTGAGTTCACCTGCTCAACGGATTGCAAGTGTGGAAAAGACTGGAAATCTAAAATCGGGAAACGGGTGGTACCTGTAGCAAACTTAATAATGATAATCTACTCCATAGTCTCCACCAGATGGCTGGTTACTGCAAATGATACAATTACCCAGGGATTATCTAATTACTGCGGTGTTGGGGACGAAGTCAATTGTACAGTAACTGAAGGGAATTGCACAGTTTGCGTGGACCTTGGAAAAAATATTGAATGTGAAAAACTAGGTAAGTCACGTTCGCTTACTTTGGGTAATTCAAGACTCTTCATACGCTAGGACAAAAGAAAATCTGCATCAATAGACTTTTGATTGTCAGGGTGTATTTTCCATCTAGTATAACAAGTTCTCTAGAGTCAATACAGTCCTATTGTCCCGTTACAAATAGAATGATATTTTGCTATGGAATTATTTACAAAATCTACATTACGCGGTGGTTTTTTCCTCGGATAGTACGCAGCATTGTGCGGTGATATTCATTAATTGGGTTCAAATGTAATGCAGATTCAATAATATAATGTTCTAGTGTCAATTCTTAATCGAGGACATGCCGTCATGTTTGCTGCTTATAATATCAGAATTTGAATGAAATATATTTTTGTTTTAGAACGAGAAGTTGACGAACTCGTCGTGTTTTGGCTCCTTATTGTCGCCGCTATCTTGAGGCTCATTGTAACAGCTGTCCTATTGCTTCTAGACTGGATATGCAGAATCAACAGTTGTTGCATAGATTGCAATAACCCCCATGCTAAAACACTCCTCGTTTTGGAATTTCTTGCAGGTAATGAATTTTTAGTACTTTGTCAGCAAACGAAATGTGGTGAGTCAATTACTGTCGAATTAAGCCGTAGCCTTTCTAATTCTTTTAAAATAAATAGTTTTTGATAGAAAAAAACAGACTTCGAAATATTTGCACAAACATCTAATAGAAACAGCTTCACAGGATCTGCAGCGTTTTTATTAGATACATTTTTATTATCTAGATTTGATTGACCTAACGGCTGCCAGTATCTACACGGCATACAACCAAAGCCGAAAAGTTGACCAACCAGTTCCGGGAGAAAAATTATGCGGAAGATTTGGTGCCGCATTTATAGTCTCTTGGCTCCGCGGTGCCCAGGTAGTTTTCAAAGGATTGTGCCTCTGTTTATGTGGCAAGGGAGGGGACAAGGAGGATGATAGCGGGGGAGAAGGAGATGGTGGAAAAAGCGCTCAGACAAGCGTATAAACTATAAAGAACAATAAACTGACATGAGGTTTCCCACATACAGTTGTAAGAACTACCCCCCTTACTTGGCCAACGAAAACAAATTTTTAGTGGAATCATTCGTTAGCCGCTATTTTAAGTGCTGCCATTGAAGCCCCGTGCTTGTCAAATATATCCCCAAATTACTCAATAATTTCAAATTTGTAAAATTTTCTTCCTTTTTGCATTTTTTTTTTCGCAAAGCACAATTGCTGTGTCAATTACTGGCGCCACGCTGTTTCATATACAAACGTAACATGTTGTTTGTTTTATATGTGGCTTTTAGCAAAACGCTTTTAAAATTTCGAGTGGTAGGCTATGTGCAGTGGTGGGATTCAGTCGGTTTGTACCGGTTCTATAGAACCGTTTCACGGAATTTTATGAGATTAGCGAACCGGTTAGCATTACTAAAAAAAACATGCAACAGAAACGGCCAAAAAATATGACTTTTGTGATGGAACCGGCTGACAGAAAAGTTTGAATCCCACCACTGCCTATGTGTCCATATTTAGTGTTAAAATATTTTGGTTTTTATTCGCCAAATAATTCATGAGCATATATTAGTACCGATCTCTTTGCAATACGTATCATTGGTTGAAGCTTGATATTTGCTTGGAGTAAACTGTCGTCCACTGCTCACGAATAAATGTATAGCAGCAAAAATAAAGTGGATCGATTTTATGTGTTTTTCACGTGGGACATAACAAGCATCATTGTCAGTTTTAGCTATTTCCTTATAACCCGCAGTCGTACGAATGTCATTGACTGGATAATTTACAATGTTACCAAACTTATAAACCTACTTCGCAATGAGTAAATTGGACTGAGAATTATATTGGCAACGTGTATAAGAAATCTTTTGTAAGTTTTAATTATTCGGTTAAACTAGGTAAAGTAAAAAAACATATTGTATTTTTTATGTCTATTTTAGGAGTTTGTGCTCACAAACTGGTTCATAATCATGAATTCGATCATTCACCTACCCGAAAAATAAAGTAATGATTTAGACTTGTTTATCACGGTCTGTTCTGGACTCATTTTTAGGAACTGCAACTGAACTAACTGAATTATTTGATTTACTTGAAAACTTTTGAAATACAACTTGTAACAAACGTTCTTTGTGAACTGCACTACACCAAATGCACACTAGAATTTATAACAGTTCAATATAACGTGGTCTCTCAATCCCCCCAATTTGTATCCTCGAAATCACACAAGTATACAGTTGGCACGGTTAACTCAACACGAACATAAAACAAAATCAGCACAATATACCAAAAGTAAATTATAAATCTTAATTAATTTGACTTTGAAACCATTGATATCGTGGCAAGAACTCAATTCATAACTTGTATATACACAAAAGGTAACATAGAATTATTTTATTACATAATTCAGGTTTATAAATAAGTTGATAAATATACATTAGAGTGAAAACAACATTGTTATATAGAACAATAGGTATGAGATTTTCGATCAGTTCGTACAGGCGTTGTGATTGACTTACCTGGCTTTGAAAACTGATTGCATTTTTTGTTGTTGCATGGATATATAATCAGTTTGCGGTACTGTCAAGCTACTCTGCTTTAAAAGTTGAACTGGTCTAACTTATGTAGTTCACGCATTCGGCAATCATACATACCACATAACAAAATAGTTTCAGAACTAATGATGTAGTTGTCATAAGAGAATTTTTTTTATCTGGTTTTAACGACAATATGAACTGGATAGCAGGTTGTGGGTCGAAGCATTGACCACACGCTTAGGTGAGCGTTTTGACATCATAAACAACTTTTTCTGTATATATATGTTTGGTATAATATTAATCTGCGTGATTTGGGCAAAATTGTATGTTTCTTCACATTTCACTATTCTGCACTCTCACTCACCTCCTTTACAAAATACACGTCAGCCTGATTTCCGGGGCTATGTCAGTTTTTAGCTTGACGTAATTTTCAACTCCCATGACTTGTTTTGGTTTTATCTAACTCAAATTATCTTTATAAACTATTTTCATTTTATTCGATTGTGTCTTGACTTTAGTAATGCGAATGAACAGTTTAATCAACTTTAATGACAAATATTAAAAAAGATGATTGCAGAATTTCAAATCATAGGCTATATGTGGTGCAAGTGTGGTATGCGTGATCAGTGCTTGTACTGTTTCAGTTATAAAAGAACTAATCCCACGATAACAGGGTTTGGAATATAAACTGAATCCTTTAGAATGTCTTTGTTAGATTGACCGCATAGCATGTATGATCGCATGCCGAGGTGGTTGTATGACGCTGTGTCATACCAGATATGTTTTTTTCTTTTATTTGTATATCCGACTTGATATTATAGAAAGAGTGAATCAAGATACCAGTCACTCTTGTGGGCACACGCAAAAAAGATAATAATTCCATATACAGTCAGCATAAGGTGGTACCACCGTAAAGAGTTTGAGGTGGTAAAAAATTTACAATTTGATGGAAAACGTCTTTGCTGAAAATATCGAATTTAACGACTTGGTCTGACCCACAAAATGTTTGCAAATATGACTAACTCAGTTCATGGAAGTTGACGCTTTATTTTTAGAAAGAATGGGCGTAAAACAAATGTGAAATAAAATCGAAAATCAGTTGCTGCGGTGGTCTTTACTGAATATGCACAGATTTTTATTGTGATTTTGACGAATTAAGGTAGTTGCCATGGGACTCTTCACTTTCATCCTGCGTTTCCTTCTTATTGGAGCATATGTAGGTGAGTGAAGTTTGCATAACGTATTTCAATTCATAAATTAAAATAACGGATTAAATAATTTAGACCTACGATATAAAATATTTTCTAATTTCACAAATACTTTATATATGCGCATAATTCTAACGCATTCGTTGTTATATACAAATACTTTCTTTGCAGTTGGCATTTCTACGGATTCAAATAAATTTTGTGAAAGCAATGATTATGGATTCTCTATCAAGGTGAAACATATTTATATGCGAATTATTTAGCAAATTGGACACACAAAATTTTTGCTATGTTCATGCCCACTGTTTATGCTAATGTAAAAACAGATAATAAGAAAAGTATAGTTTCGCACCAATTTTTATTTTCAACATTTTTAGAATCCTAGATAAATAATAGCATATGTACAAATAATTATTCAAATTTCAATATTCAAAAAAAGTCCAAATGTAATTTAAACTACTGTTCGTTTTTCAGCTGACCAACGAGGAGGGTGAGTATGAATATTTTTTCATTGTTTTCAATTTGTTTGCTATTTTCAATTTGTTTGCTAAAGCGACAGATTGAACACTCGTAGTGTAATGGAGCTTTCTGATTTAAACTTTAGCTATATGTTTGCTGATCACTGAAAATAGTAGAAGTTTGATGCTCAAAATATTTGACAATATTTTAAACATATTATTGAAACATTCACTTCAGCTCACACTATATTCATACTTTAAATCTATGCAATTTTAAAAGTCACAATTGACGTAGAATTTAAAACCAAATTGAACTTTTAAAATAAACGTGTACAACCAACTAAAGCTAGCCTACGAAGTCACTCAAAATATTCAATACACTCTCGATGGTTACACCAAGCATGGACTTGAAAATAGGTCGAACTCATGAAAAACAAACTAATATGGAACAACTAACTAACACATCTCATATGGAATTATGGCTCTAGGAAACCTCTCTTGGAACCAAACAAATAATTCGAAATGATAAAGTCAGATATGGCCAAATTATACATAAAAGCGTCAAGGAAGTTGCAACTGACGTCACGCTAGTAACTGAAACGAACCGGAATGAAAACTCTCGCCCTTATTATAACCTAATCTACGTAGGTAAAATTATGGAACATCTGGCATTTCAATGACATAGATGTAGTATTGCAAAAATCAACATCTCGTTCGATTCGATACATTGTAGATCTGAGGTTCCAACTTGAAGAAAAATTGACGTCCATTCTGATGAAAAATCCGCTCCGCGACATAACGATTACCACATATTTAACTCAAGTAGACGACTTAAATCCTGAAACGCCTGTCCCAGTGAGCTTTAGCATCAGTGAAGACACGATGGCACCTGAGAAGTTTACGATATCCAGTGTTGTTAATATGGAACAGCAACAAAGATCCACCACTCAGAATAAAGTAGATCACAGTTCAACGAAGACCATATCAACTACTCCAACAAGGAAAAGAGAATTGTCAAACCCAGCCACAATTACACAAAACATCACTGATGAAAATGAATTGACAGATAGCAAAACTGTCGAGAATAGTACCGATGAAAATCATAAGAACAACGGCACCGTTCACTTGCACAACGCTGCAACTACTTATGCTGGTTCCCCGATTGATCAAAACACTGAAACAACATCAATAACATATGAAAATACAACAAGCAAGAATCAAACAACAGTTGAAATAACAAGTGACACTGGTTTCTCTACTATATTCCCAGGTACGCAAAGTCACCTCACATAGCTGACTGTTTGGCAAATTAGATCGATAATGGATAGACATGATAAATCACTGTGTGCTTTTACTTATTTATTCATAGATGAAGACACACACGATCGAACAACAGTCACTCAGAATACCGTCAAATCTACTAAATCTTCTAACTTGAGAGACACTACTAATGAAAGTAAGGTTGAAACCAGCGGATTTAAATTTTCTACCACTATTATAAAAAGCAAAACTACAAAAATTTCTGATACCACTGTCAAGACTGGTAAGAATTTGATAATCTTGAAAATGCAAACATTTTAATGTTCGTCAGTCATCTTACAACTTCCAATACATTCGTCTTGTTTTCATGAAAGTCATAATGTTTTGCATTCCTAGACAAACAGTGCGAATACAAGTTTGAATCAATTTGCTACTGGACAGAAATTAACCCTTCCGATAATTTAAACTACGAGGAAGCAATGAAGGTGTGCAATTCAAAGGATTCAACCTTGGCTCTGATTCCAAACAGTCAAGTTTACAACAGTATAACAACCATGATACGATCAAGGATTCCGTCTGGTTTAGACATCGTGTATATCTGGACACAGTTACAGATAGACCCGTCTGTGAGTATTTCCTGATCTCCCATAAGCGCTTATGTTCAATAGTTCGGAGTTTATTTACTCAACTTAGCCATTTTTAGGATTTTATTTCTAATCAGATTCATTGGTCCGAACTAGTTTCAGATATTTAGAAAACATTCGATTATATGTTTATCATACTTGACATAATAATTGCTCCACAGAAAAATCCGTCTGCGTGAATTTATAGATTAGCGCAAGCGTCGAAAAGTAACAAGGAATTTGTAGGACCAATTTATGTTTTGCACAATTGCAGCGCATATTCATTACTAATTACAAGGTTGGAACTCAATACAAAATTATTGATTTGAAATTACTGAAATATGAATTTCGATTTTTGATTATTTGAAATAG